AATGTTCCTAATAGTTCATAACTACTTAAAAGTCGAATTGAGCAATACTCCACTGAGTATGAAATTACAACACATATAAATATTATACCTCAGAAAATAGGAGATACCCCTCAATTCCACCAATCAAAAATGAAGTAGGACTGAACAATCTTCCAAACAACACTACCCGAGAAGAAATTAGATATAGGTATCATGAAATTGTCCATAAATTATTCCATAATCATGACATAATTTTTACGGACGGTTTAAAATCAGAGAAAGGTGTAGGATGCTGTATAGTAACCCAAAACAATATAAAAAAATGGAAATTAACTAACAATAATTCGATTTTTACAAGTGAAACGTGGGTGATTCTCAGCTAATGAACTTGAAAATAAATAAAAATAGTCAAAAAATAATATTGTTTTGGATACCCTCACACATTGGCATAATTGGCAGTGAACGAGCCGATCAGGGAGCAAAGGAAGCCGCCAAAAGCACGGATTCATCTGTTTTAGGATCGATGTTTCTCAACGAATGGAGAAGAGAGATTTCAAAGAAAGTGAACGACAGTTGGAATGCACAGTGGAGATTACTGCCGCGCAATCACCTTCATCTGACCAAAGACGAAAATCGAGCTTGGTATCCTCCAAAACACCTGACATCAAAAGAGTGTTCTGTAATAAGCAGGCTCAGAATTGGACATACCAAACTGACCCATCTCCACCTACTTCTTGGCTAACATCGACCAACATGTGAGGTATGTGAAAACGCTAACCTGACAGTTGAACACATATTCCAGTGCAAAAAGTTCCGGAAACAGCAAATCGAACTCCAAATTGACAAGGCACCGTACAAGAAAAGCACTGGTATTGAAAAAACGCTGAAGTACATTCGAAAAATAAACTTGATAAGTTATATTTAAGAAGAACGATCGTCGCTAATGACCTTGGCAGTCGATGCGACGTTAAAAAAACAGCGAATAAAAAAAAAATAGAATTTTTCATTTTAATAAGATTGTCGCAAACAAATTTAAGAATTTTTCATTTTAATAAGATTGTCGCAAATAAATTTAAGAATTTTTATAAAAACAAATGAATAAGATATTTTAGTTTTCCTATTAAAGTCCTTAGACGTAGTACCTATTATGGATAATAAGGTTAGGCGTTATGGCGTTTAAAGACCAATTTCATTTTATTGATGAGCCAGGTTTTAATCTTCATCTTCGAAGGAACCATGCAAGTTGCAAGAGTAAATACGCCTGCATTAGTAAAATTTTCCACTGTTGGAGGAAGAAATGTAACACTTGTATTTAAAGGTAATCTCAAATCCAAAATGTAATGCTGTTCGATTCAATGTTTTTTTGTCAGAAGGCTGTCTCTACCGGATTTAAAGGAGGAGATTAGGAAGGATGGTTCCTCACGGTGAGACCAAGTTCTTGCATCTTTTCTTTTACTTCTGCAGCTCGATGATAAGTGCTTGCATTGTCCATCACCAAAACACTCTATAGAGAGCCAGTAATCTTCTCGTGGAGTTCAGATTAAAAATCATTGAACCGAACAGTATTAAAATTTGAGTTTGAGATTACCTTAAAATGTGCCACCTTTTTGTTAATGATGGTCAATAAAAGTGTTTCTCCCTCTAACGGTAAAATCTTTTATTATTGCACTCGTATTTTCTCTTGGCCTTGCATGGTTCCTTCTAAGATGAACATTAAAACCTGCCTCATCAATAAAATAAAATTGGTCTTTAAACGCTATAACGACTAACCTTATTTTCGTAATATGAACTACGTCTTAGGACTTTAATAAGAAAACTTAAAAATCATATCCATTTGTTGTTATAAAAATTCTTAAATTGATTTGCAAAAGTCTTAATTTGAAATGGAATATTCTAAATATGATTTGAAAAAATCCCAATTTGGTTTGGAAAGTTCTAAGTTTGATTTTTAAAAATCCCAATTTGATTTGGAAAGTTCTAAGTTTGATTTTTAAAAATCCCAATTTGATTTGGAAAATTCTAAATTAGACTTGTAAATGCTATATATTTTTCAGATGAATATTGACAAAATGTTTTAAAACCAGATAGCAGCGAATTTGGTTAGGAAAAAGGCCTAAATGAAACCTATAAAACAATTTATAACAGAGAAAAATTATTTATCTTAAAATATATAAATACGTAGTATGATAATGTTAATGATTCCAATATTTAGCTGGCTGTGACCTAGCTCGCGTCAAGAACACGTAGGATGATGCAAAAGACCTTGTATTGCATGCGCTAATACCCCTTTTGCAACTTTTACATCACAGCATTCTTTGTCGATACTTATTTTACGAAGCGATTTTTTATTTTAGCAAAACCGCTTTATTCGGAGCATTAAAAATGCCTGGAGTTGATGAGTTGCATTTCTGCCAAGAAAACAAATTTGTCATGTAAGGGTAGACTGTTGTAAGTTCATGGCCGTTTGTAAAAATATAAAAAACACATCTGATAAAAATAAGAATTTGTTTTTATTTTAAATGTTGCAAAATAATACATCCAATTTTCGCTAGTGGCTATTATTAGTTATTGCATATTAATTTCCTTTTTAAAAAACAAATAAATATCTTCAACAAACTTTTTTATAGCCTGGCTGTTATCTATACTTTATTGTATCTACTTTCGTGTACAAAGACATATTTTACTCAATACGTTTTTAATTTCAAAGTGGCTCCTTCGATTTCACCTAAAGCTGTAAGAAATTTTGAGAATAATGTGCGAATGGCCTGTTACCACTTAATAAACTATTAATGGACAATTGAAATTAATATAGTAATTTACATGTACAAATAAAATGGTAAAATAAAAAAAAAATAATTAAGAATATAATGACAATGAAATGTGGACGGAAGTGAACACAAAACAATGTGAATCTATATAATAGAGCTTGAGTTAACTCACACCTGTTATTATTTAATGATAAATTTGATGAATTGCTACTTCAGTTTGACAAGATCTCTTTGTCTGGAGTTGGAAAAAATGAACAAATGGGCGTACCTTCTTGGACTAGTTCTCCCAACTCGTCCATCATACTTAAATAATTACATTAATTAATTAATGGACTGTTTCAGTGAGATGAACATGAAAAAATTGTATAAATTTATAGTTTGGTGAAATGAAATGCCACTTCCGTTAAATCAATTTCAGTGAAAACTTTGCTGTAACGACCTCAAATACTTTACTTTAATTTTTTACAACAATATGGTTTTGAGCTAAACTGTTCTCAGATAAACATACCATTTTGAGGTACTTGAGTGTTTGGACCTAGGAGACTTAAAACTAGTATTTCTTTTGAAAACATGGATTTGAAATTTTCCACACGTTCCTTTTCTATATATTTTTTTTAATGAGTGAGTAAAAGTAAAATTATTATGTTTATGAGCAAGTTTAAGATTAGAAAAATAGAATTATTATATAAATTATTATAGAAATTTATAGAAAAATTTTATTTTGGCGTTTTTTCATTATAATACTATGTTAATAAAATTAAATTATTTATAATAATGTAGAGATGGTTGACTGTGATATAATATGAGAAGGAGTGGGTCGGGGGGAGGAAGGCGGGGTGCGATCCAATAAATACTAAATTTTAAAATATAGTCTATCAACTGCCTCCTGCAGTGCCACATGCCACGTCCTGATGAAGACCTGTAAGGTGGGTCGAAACGTCGGCTTAATAATTAAAAATTCTATTTTTTAAAATTTAGTATTTATTTGTCCGCACCCCTCTCCTCCCCTTCCTTGACTAACTCCTCTCACTAAATTATTTATAAATTGAAACTCTTTAAATTAAAGATTAATTTTCACCCGGCACAGCCCATATCATATTATTTGAGAATATTTTCATTATATGAAATTCATTGATTATGGATGACTCTTTAAATGTATCTATTTTTAATATATAAATAATCTGCAAAAATAACAATACTAAATTATGATTTGTTATATTTTTTATTATTTATTCATTATATCATTTAACAAAAACTAAAAGCAAATCTTTACAAAACTCTGGACTGTACAGCTTCATATGAATGGCATAAGTGAAGTGGCTGGATACCGGGCATTCACAGGAGTATAGTGTCAGCTTTCACTTTAAATGCACTATTTGCCATCGGTAGACTTATAATAATTTTGTATAATATTATCTGAGGATCTCCTTCATATCCTCAGGCAATATGTGCAAGATGTTATTGAAGGGTATGATGATAACTTTAAGGCAGCTTTTAATATGGCTATGATTAAATTGAACATTATTGAACTGAAAAATGAACTAATGACTTTATCAACTCATTATCCCAGACAATAAAGGATTTCAATGAAATCTTGTGCCGAGAAAAAATAAATAAAAATAAAACTCTTTTTCCCCAATGTCTTTTATAATCTCATACATATTATATGGAACTGTTGAATTATATTAGTTAAATTCTGAAATTTCTAAAGTGAAAACCATATGAAATGATGGAGATTAATTATTTGACTGGGATGATTTAAATTATATAGAAATCTTTGAGGATAATGAATAGTAAATTTTGAGATTTAAAATATAGTAATGAGACCCTGTTTATGAGAAGAAACTCCTTAAAACATTAAACAAAATTTTATAATAAAACAATTAATAAATTAAAAAGACTTAGTTAACACATTTCCTATGAATGGCTTTCTTCAATAACAATTGTAACTTAAACATCTATATTTATCAACAAAGTTCATATATGTTGTATATTGAACAATCCTGAATCAAAATGTAATTAACATATATATTATCCTAATAAACAGGTTTGATTATTGTGGTTTCCAATAATGAACGTTTGGATACCTGAATAACTGGATTTGACACCTTCATAAACTAGAATATTATGTTATATTGCAATCAACCTATACTTTCTTGTATCAACCTATAATTGAAACATAACGTTGATATTTAAATAAAACTTAAATTATAATTATTTTAACCATGTTAATATATTTCTCTATTTTTCTAGACAAGCCTTCCATATAAAATAGCAGCAATCCATATCGTGAATGAGTCCTGGATATTTGAAAAAATATTCACCATGTTTAAGCCATTTCTTACAAAAAGATATTCTGACATAGTAAGTATATTGATTAATTCATAAATGTGTTTATGTTTGAGGAATCGAAAATATAATTATTTATTGACCTAATTATTTTATGATGGGCTAATATCTGTGATGATAATATATATATGTATATATATATATTTACAATTTATTTTATCTACTGTGTGTACTAATAATACATCAATAAATAATTGATCATTTGTATTTTATAATGTATTAGCCACCCTACAGTATTATAAAATTCTTTATACTTTGTTTGCTCATTCATTTTCACATATTTTCTGAAATTTATTTTGCATTACATTATTTACTTTTGGTATGCATCAATGAGAACACCAATGTAAAAAAATCGGGATTTTTCATGTAATATCAGTACAGTTAGTGAAAAATATAAATTGGTTACCTATGTTAATCTTGATTCAACACACCCTGTATAAGGATTGTTTGGCAGATAGATTTTCTTAAATATAGCAAGATCATTATTACTATAACGGAATTCAATATATTTCAAAAATATTTGTTTGAGAATATTATAATTTTGTTGCTAATTTTATACATAAAATAAAAAACATTAGTTATAATTTGTTGACATATTTTTATTTTAGTTGTTCTTCCATGGCAGTGATAGAAAGTCTCTGCATCAACACATAGAGCCTAAGTATTTACCTGAGGTCTATGGAGGAATTCGGCCGCAATATGGATGTGCCGATTGGTTCAGATCCTTAACAAGTGATAAAAATATAGTTCAAGGTAATGAAATGATTTGTTTGACTGAATGGAATGAACTGCTATAGGGTAATTTTATTTTTCAAAAGAAATTTAAAGGAAAATATTAGTCCTTAAAATGTAAATAATGCAGTATAATTTTATTTTATCAACAACTAGTAACACCTCCTCTGATGCATTGATAAAATTTACCTATATATAAAAGAATATAAAAACAAAAAAACAATATTTTTTTAAATCTTTAAACACAAACTTTTAGAACAAGCAATTATGTATGAATATTACAGCAGCAACTGGAATGGTATATTTACGTTTTCATTACATACGTGTATTTTCGTTTAAATGTCATATTCAAAATTTCCTGTGACTGCAATACTTTCTCTTACTATATATTACATATAGAGATAAGTGAAAGTAAAAATTGAAGGATTTGTCTTTGTAATAAATATTAAAAACAAAACAACATAGACAAGGTTACGAAAATAAATAAAATGAAATAAAACTACCATTTTATGTCCCTGATTTTGATTGAAAAATAGTAATTGTTGATTTTTCTAATATTTCTAATCAAGATGTTATGCTTTCCAGAAATGACATCAATTGGATACAAGACTTTAGAAGAGGAAGATGAAGAATAATAAGTAACTTGTGATATTAAAAATGGGTCAATTTTTTATTTTTCGTGGGTTCTAGCAAGGAAACTATAGTTTATAAAAATATTTTCATCATGATTTGGAAATATTTATACTGTTTATTAATCATAAAATAATTCTTATTGTCATGTTAGTCAATATTGTGGATCCATATTGAAGTGACTGAAATAATGATTAGAAGATGAATATTAGGAACATGTTTTTGTAAAGTAGCATTTTATATTTCTTGCTTATCCCTAGCAAAATTTGTACATAAGATAATAAATATGATATTATTAAAGCATTCAAAAGTATTACTAACTGGCTTTAAAATTTACCAAAAAACAACAATAAAAGTTGAATTATTAATCCAAATCTGTAAAAATTTGGTATAATTATTTTTATTACAATCTTTTATCAATTTTATAGTATATTTTTAATAAGCATTTGATTTATTTAGGAAGGAACTAGATTCAAGAATAAATAATTAGTTGTTGTAGATAATAAAATCAATAAAACAATCCTTAAATTTTAAATTTAGGAATTTGTTTTTAGACTAAGTATATAAAACCTATGTATTGATGTTATTGTCATAATAAACTTTATAAATATAATTTGTTTGTTTCTGTTTTCCTTATCAAATTCAAGTGCTGCAAGAGTGCTCTAGTAACAAAAGACAATGATACTAATGCAGAGATCAAAGGCAGAAGAATAGCAACTGGAAGCAGATGCCTTTTGATTAATAAACTGCTTAAATTTCAAGTATTGTCTCGAAAGACAAAAATAACCAGGTACAAGACAATAACAAGACCGATGGTGACATATGGAAGTGAGTGCTGGGAGATGACCAAGGAGAGTGAGATGATCCTGAAGGTTTGGGAGAGAAAAATCCTCCGAAAGATATTTGGCGCAGTTAACAAGGAGGGCCATTGAAAAATGGTGAGCCTAATATTGTGGCATTCATTAAAGAGGATGGCGAAAGAAGGCAGAAGATTGGCAGGAATGGCTATCAATTTTAAGTGAGGGCAAAGTCCAACTAGGACTGTAGTGCCATTAAATAAGTAAGAATGTTTGTTCTAAAGTATGAGCATGGGTCAGTATACCTGAAAAAAAAAAAAAATTGATCCTGCAAATATCCCCACTCTAAAATTTTATTTCAAATTTTTAATGAATCAGTCATTAATTTTTTTTAAGATCTTGAAAAAAAACCTGTAGCACTATAACTTATTGTTGGTCTTGGTTCAATGCATTGTGAGAAAGTACTGTTTCATTCACAATAGTTGTGTTAATCCCCTCACAGTGTTGAGTGAACACTATGGACTGTCAAATTGAACAAAAATAACTGGACAATAAGCATTTATTTTTTCTTACTAAAATAAAACATAATAAATAAAATAAAATCACTTTTACAGTTAATATTATTATTTGTCAAGAAAGAAAAAAATATGCAAAAATAATAAACATTTTCTCTAAACAAAACAAAATGAAATTACACAGTATATCTTTAAAAAAAAATCATTAATATGTATAAAAAAAAAGGAAAAGTTATAAATATATTTATGAAATTGTCTTTTTGGATGAGCAATAAGCTGGAAACAGAATCTTCTAATACTCAATGAGTTCTCATTACATTATTTAATACTAGTAGTAGGTAATATATATCAGTGCATCTGCATGGAAGTATTGTAGCAGAATACTTTTGTTAACATAGTATCAGGCTGTATCAGAGGCTGAATCAGCCTTCACTAGAACAGTCCACATAAACGAATCAGGATCATAAAACTATGTACAGTATAATAATATAAAAATAATTATAATATAATCAGGGGTGCCCAAAAGAGAGTTTCATAGCACAACTTCCGCCATAAAAACTTTGAGGAGTGCACATTTTGACAGAATTTCGGATTTTTGAGAGGAGCACATTTTGAAAAGGTTATGAATTTTCGAAATTAAAAGGATCTTCAAACCAGGGAACATGAGGAAAGCAAAGAACAGACAACTGAAAGTGTAACTATATATGACAAATGATTGTTATAATTCTACTTTAGCTTATACTGTTTTTAAGATGAGGGGAGCAATAAATTATCTTGTGAGAAGGGAAAGGTTCATATGCCATCAATCTTGGGTTGGATGGGCACTCATGACTATATTAATAATATAATTGTCTTACCCACTGAGCTCCTCTGTTCCCCCAAATATCAAGAGTATTGGAAAATTATCCCAACATTCTCAAACACCATATCTTGAACATTTGCACTTAAAATATTTTTTGATAGTGTTAAGAACTTACAAAGGAAACCTTCCATTCAGCTATATGGGGTGAAATTTTATTTTAAGGGCTAAAAACAAATTTTAGAACAAGCAATCATGTATGATTATTATAGCAGCAACTAGAATGGTATATTTAAGTTTTCATTACAAATGTTAGAATATTTGATCCATATGTCAGTTTTATATTTAACTTATATCTATTTGTATATAAAACTTCTCTTTGTACATAAAATTCCTCTTTATGTTATGCATTAAATAATTTCTCCAACTGACTTTGCTGGTAATATTAAAATTAGTAAATGATTGTGACCATCTATTAATTATAGCAGTTGATTTTTTTAAAAAATTCTGAAATTTCTTCAAATCTTTTTTTTAACAAAGAGAATGCTTTACCAAATGACCCATGTTCTAATTGAAAAGTCTTATTATTTATAAATAAGACATGGGAAACTTATTTCAGTTATCAAGGATTGCAAAAGACTCAATCTATTGACTTTTTAATTGAAATAACCTACTTATAATGCAAGGAGTAGCCGGGCTGCTCATTAGATCTCACCAACATTACTGCTACTAATGTCGGTAAACATATATATAGATATAATGAAAGATCCTTAAAAACATCATCAAAGATTATCTGTTGGATCGCAAGCCATGGTTTGTCTACTCCTGTCCTAAATTCTTCCTTTCTGACTGATCCCAGTATGTTGTCGTCCCAGGTCAACCAGCTTCTAAAACACTTCCCCTCTCCTGTGGTGTCCCAAAGGGTTCCTCCCTATCTCTTAGTCTGTTTGCTATTTACATTAATGACCTTCCTCTCCTGATTTATCACTCACAATACCATATTTATACAGATGATTTCCAAATATACCTATCCATCCTCCCTTCTGACCTATTAGCAGCCACCAAAAAACTTCAAGATCACTTAAACAGAATTTGTGACTGGGTAGAAGCTGTCAAGTTGAAATTGAATGTTGAGAAAACCAAAACAATTTTGATAGGCTAAAATCAACTCCTTAAAACTCTTCCGAAAATCCCAACCCTGCTGCTACATGATAATCCTATAGATAAATTTCATTCGTTAAGAACCATGGAATAACCTTTGATCAAATGCTTTCCTGAAAAGACCATGTATCCGATATCTCCCACTGTACCATTTTCATTTTAAAACATCTAAATTACCTTCACCACCTATTTCGATATGAAACCTGTAAACTCCTGATCACTTCTTTAATATTTCCCCACTTTGACTATTACTGCACAGTAAATGGGCGTCCCTGGGGATCTCGAGGCAAAACTAAAACGTTTGATAAATTGCTTTGTATGATTCATCTTCGGGATCCCAAGGGATGCCTCAGTCTCCCGATTTTATGAAGAACTGAAGTGGCTTTATCCTTTCTACTGTTGTAAGTACTTCCTAGCTTTCTTCCTCTTCCATGTCATCCAATCTCATAGTCCTTCATACATCTCCGAACTCCTTCAATTCAAATCCTCTGTTTACTCCCATAAAACCCATTCCTGGTCTTCGGATTTGTATATAATAATCCCAAAACTGTTGCCTTCGACAGATCTTTCATTATCCGATCCTCGTCCATATGGAATTCTATCCCTTCCTGCATCCAGCGCTCCAATACCCTCTCCACCTTTAAATCTCACCTATTCAATCATTTCCTTTCCGTTCGGTCCCCATAAAATTATAAATATGTATATAAATTCTAAGGTTGTTGTAAATATTTTTATTTCATTTTTTAATTGAGAAGTTAGAAGACAACTTATAATTTTTTATTTATTAGGTCTATTCGTTTTAATTTTTATGATGATTCTCTGAGGCTCTGAAGCCCATATTTCTGTCTCTGTATATTAATCCAAAGGGACTTGTCCCAGAATACGTAAAGTATTATTATTATATCTATTTTTTATTCTTGCTTTGTGGGGTAGGATTCTGAGATGGGAGACCAGAAGTCCAGCCACCTTCATATTATTATTTATTATTTTTTAAGATGTTTAAACATTTTCTGACGATATGTGCAGTGTCTAAGAGAACTGAGTGTTGAGCCTCTTTCGGCACATCAAGAGGTAATTTTAAACAAATCGTGCCTGTCACTGTTGACTGGTATCAGTCCATTGGAGGATTTTATAATTGGAGAGGTGGTGATGCCCCCCAAATGATGTAATTCCTTTAATTTTAATGTCAGTTCCTGATATTTTCACAGTTTTTCTCCAACAGTAGAACTTATATTATTATCATTGGGGATCCCGACATCAATAAGCTCTGCTTTTTTCCTTTCTCATATCTATCAAGAGGATATCTGGTTTATTATGAAGCACAGTATGGTCAGTTATAATAGATTCATCCTAATAGAGCTTGAGACCACCTTTCTGAAGGAGTCTATTTGGGTGGAACTTAAAATATGGAATTTTATCAACTAAGTTGAGCTTCAATGCCAGAGCCTGGTGAAAAATTTTGGAAGCATTATTATGCCTCTGGAGATACTCAGTGCCAGCTCTAATACTCCACACTCACCTGTAATATGTTGAGGTAATTATTATTATTATGTACACATTATAAATAAATAGAAGGATAAAAAATGTTATAATCCCTGTACAAAATTATTAATTAGATATAAATAAAAAAAAAGACATATAATGTTTATATAAATAAAATGAAGCACATGAAGATAAAATTTATTTTAGTGAAAATTAAATCATATTTATAAATAAAATGTGAATAGTAAAAATGAATACGGTTATTCAGTGTCTGCTTTTCCAAGAAAAAGTGAATTAGAAAGTTTTAAATTTGGATTAGGAAGAGGCATGTTGGATATGAAGAGGCCAGAAATTCCAGAATGTGGTGAAGCAACTAAAAGATCTGTTTTTAAATGAGGTAGATCGGTGAAAATAAAAGATTAGAAGTTTGGGAACTTGTAGTAAGTGGATGGATAAAGAATTTGAATTGAAGGAGATTATAGGCCGCAGATAACTAAGAGCACTAACGGATCCAGTATTTAATTATGGGGTGGGCTTCAGCCCGAAAGATTTTTTTTTCCATATATATAACGAAAGATCCATATATAATTTGAAAGAAAAAAGAAAGAAACTAGCTACCTACATGACATGGTATGTAAGTGATTCTTGAAGTCCTATTAAATGTAATTACACGAAGAATAATACTTTAAGAGATAGTTTTTAATATTTTTTTCTATGCCAGAGCCATAAAAAATACCATTTTAGGGAGAGGTGGAGGAGAGGCTTCACCCTGAAAGCCCCTCCCCCCCTCTCCATAGATCAGCCAGTGACTGAGAGGAAGAAAAAGAGTAAATAGATTTGAGTTTAAGGAGTCATTAGCATAAAGTTAATTAAAACAGTGCACAAATGATGTATATAAGTCATTAAAACAGGATCTTAAGAGAAGAGAAAGTTTTACTATCTGATAATAATGGTTAGGAAGGGAAACGCTTTGGTTATGTTGAGATAGGAAGGATTAAAATGAAAAGATCGAACTATTTGAAAAAAAATAACAGTAAAAATGTTTTAAAAAAGAACTCGGAACTTAAAGAAGATGTTCATACTTCTATGTTAGGTTAAATTTTCAATATAAAAATGTTCATACAAAATCTCAGTTTTGACGCATTTCGTTATACCAATATAAAATCCCTGTTACAGAAAGCAAATAGACTCTGTAGCCCAAGAAAAAAAAAAAAAAAAATATATATATATATATATATATATATACTTAACAAGAAAGAAAAGTGTAGGAAGCTCTTTTTCATCTACGAAACCATCATGACCACACTCTTTATTACTTTGACAAAACCTGTCTAGCCAATAGTAGTTCACTACAAACTTGCTTCTTCTTTGATTTACATTGTAGTTTTTTAATTAATCGGAGTAAAACAGATTTTTCTCCACTTTTGTTCTCATCTGGATACTTGTTACTTTGAGCTGTATTGGTTGTAAGCCTATAATCACGTTTCCCTACATACCTATTCATAAAGTTATACAAATTATAATTATAAAAGGTGTCATTAAGCAATTAATCTTTATTTTATGGAGGGAATTTCATTTTTCTGAGGTATCCCAATTTCTAATTTTATTTAAGGAAAATTATGAACCTCATCCAGAATCAATTTTTTATATAAGTATCACATTATCTTTCCTTTTCTTTATAAATATGGTCATTAATGAACACAATTGTCTAATTACGTTCATAGTATGGAATAAATCTGAAAGTGGGATTATACCATAGAAAATGTTGCTAGTAAGATAAATGTTTAACATGGTACTAAAACTTTTTAAATGTTTTATTTGAAAAATGTCTATAACATTTGCTAATGCATTCACAAATAACATTTTTGCTAATAAAATTTTATTTTATTTACATCAATTAGTTGAAAATGTTAACAAAATCTCTCTGTTTAAAAGAAAGTTCAAAATGTTCATAACAATATAACACAATTTTTGCTAATAACAATTTGTGTGGTAATCTTTTATTTAAAACTTGAGAGTTAGTATGTATTCATGAATAACATAACTCTTAAGCATCTGCTATATTATCAATGAAACTATACTAAGGAAAACAAAGAAGAAAAATCTAGATAAAGAAACAATCAGGAAAAAATGGGAAGATATTAGTTATAAGGTTATAAGGAGACTGTTGTATTGGTTTATTAGCCTTTATTAGGATTATATAGAATAATTACTTTCTAACAAAAGTACATAGTTTCCCAGGATCAAGATGATGACTGGGAATAGAGAAATTTCATTCTGCTCATATGTGATGCGGCTAATGTATAATTTTATTCTTCATTATTTAAGTTTTCATCTGTTTTATTTAATTTTAACAAAATATATCCTATTTACATTGATGCTAATCAAAGAAAATTTCTGTGATTTTAATATTGTTCAATGTCTAAGAACCTAAAGAAATAATTATCTATTATATTTAAATAGAAAAAAAAAATCTATATATAAAGCTAAATACTTCAATACCAATACTACATAAAGAAATTTTCACTTAAACAAGATTCATTCTTTTGAAAAATGAAATTTAAGAAGAAACTTTAGTGAATTAATTGATATAGAAAAATAAATGAAATTTGAAATATTAAAAGTGTTTACTGTTTGAAATGCAACAGTATGCATGCACAAGTGTGTTTTTTATTTTATTTATTTAGTATTTAAATAAACAAAAAAATATTTACTTCTAGCAGTTTTAATACAGTTTTGATTGTTGATAACTATTTTGAATCATCTCGAACATGAGAGAAGATAAATTAAACAATTTTTGAGTCTGAATGAAAACAAAACTGGCCATTATTCAAGACATAAATGGTTGCCTTTGAGGCAGAGACAGGAGTGGGGAGATAACTTAGGTTGATGTTAAGTTGGCACTGACAGACGTTCATTGCAACTGGAAGGAATCGGCAGTAGAAGATGTCACTTTCTGAATATAAACATGTCAGAGAAGTTGAAGAGCTGTGGCAACTAGTGAAAAGTAAGTTAATAAAAATTTTGTAGTTAGTTACCATTATCTAGATTACTAAATTGAAAATTCATTGAGTTCTTCTTATTACGTTAATGAAACAAATGGTCATTGTTCACTTACATTCTTATTACGTTATAACTAAACACTTATATATTGTGTTTTCTTAATCGTTCAATAATTAATCTTTATTGAGTTTTTCTAAATTATATTTCAAAATAAAATATTTAATAAATAGATACTTTAATGTGATTAGCAGTAATTCATGTAAATGATCGACACGGTGTGCAGTAGATAATGAAAATGTTTTTGATCTTACTTTTAATAAATATAAACTACTTTGTAAAACATTTTATTATTTGAATAATTTCAAATAGGTAAGACTAAAAAATTTAAACATTACTTTATCAAGTTCAATTTTATGAAGATAGCATATTTGGAAACAAGAATGAAATAAGCTGTTTTAACTGTGAGTTTTTCGCTATGTTTAAGGATTATTCAGAACTTAATTTGCATTCTCTTCATATAATCTTTTGTATGCCTTTTGATTATTTATTTCTTCAACAACAATAAATCATATTGTTGACTATAGAATAATTTTTAGAAGACGTTGGTTGGGGTGCATAGGTGTTCGTTCATAAAATAACACATGCATAAGAAATCTTATTTTATTGTGTGTTTATTATAATAACTTATTTTAGATAACTTATACAATAGTAATTTAATACTTTCAAAGTTTAAAGTTCTGTTCTGTCTTGGCCTTTTTACATGTGAAGGTACTAAAATGAGAATAATACCTGGCCGATTTAACCTTTTACTTTGATATTAGCAATTGTGCTATTCTAATGGATTTGAATCAATTAAAATAATCCTATAAAAAATTGTTTCAAAATAGATCCCAATGAATTTACAATACCTTGATGCAATCGAAGAAGTGGTGTGATCTTGTTGAGTTCTGCTTTCTCATACTTTAGATAAAAATCTTAATTAGGAATTTCCAATTTTTTTTTCCTATGGTGGGTGAAGTTGCTATTATTATCTTTCACTATTATGATAATAACTACCTGGAATATATTTCAATAAACTAGATTCCTACAGAATTGATTGTTAAAAAGAATAAAAATAACCTCAGAATTCCTATATTTTTATAGTATTAAAGGTCGTCTTTATATCTTCTAATATCAGGAAAAAAGTTCAAAAAACATTTTATATTTGCTAATTTTTTGTAAATTAAATGTTTAATATTCTTTTTTTGAGCTCAATCCCAAATTACAAATGGTGTTGAAAACATACTGAATGACAGGTTTAATAATCTCCTGGCAAAAAATATTTATGTATTTTCACCTAACCATGTTAGATAAAATTTTTAATTTAAAGGTAAAAATGTAAAATTTCAACTATTTACACAGATTTAAAACATTTATATGAATTCTGGCGAGTAAGCATCGTTGTTAAATATATTTATTGCTCAGTAATTAAACTGAAATATGATACTTGGTTGTACTTTTTATTAGCACGCATATAATATTTTTAATGTTTATTTTTGTCATTGATAATATAAGGAAATTTGATTTCGTTCAGGTCAAATAGTTCTTAAAAGATTTAATATTATATAATATTTCAATGTCAACTTACTGTTATTGTTAAAAAAACACACGCCATTTTTTGATTAATGTATTCTCATATTAACAGGAAGGTACAACATGATTTAAAAAAAAAAAATAGACATAGAAAAGAATTGGTTCATACAAATCTTAAGATTATTAATTATCTCAATACTTTCACTATGTATACTTACCATATGAGAAGATGGAAACTTCATTTACTGAAATATATAAATTTTTGAAACAAAATAGCCAACTAATTTCACTGCTATAAGCAATAAAAACTGACCAACCATAAATCCTTCATTATGTTTATTTAATAATACACATCTCTAATGTAATAAATAAATTGAAAATCATCTAAATTTAAAATATATTTTTTATTAGTATATTTTTTCACTTGATTTTTCATTTTTAAATTGTTTACATTTATATAGTTAATAACAAACAAATCAAATTTGTTTGTCTGTTGACTGAACTTGCATTGTGCTATTTTCCATAGTACTGTAAATAAACATCTTCATGAGGTAATAGTGTAAGGGGACTAAAAGAAATAAAAAAAAAAAAAAAATGTTTTTTCTAACCTTAAAAATAAAACTAAAAACATATTTTCAAAATAATTTATTTATCTACAAATAAAAGGATAGAACTGAGCCTGCTTTAAAATGTGTTAATGTTATTTCTGCAACATAATTTTTAATTATTCCTTAACAAAATAGAATATTTTGGTAACAGTTGTTTAAATAATAATGTATAGACAAAGAAAGATATAATGTATTCAGTTATAATTATAATTCATTAAAAAAATTTTTAACATAAAAATGAAAAAGTTAATAATTTTAAAGATGATATAAGAGGAAAATATAAATTTACTTATTATTAAATAAATTTTTAAAATAATAAGTATAAAATAATTACTGAATACATTTTGAAATAGAGTTTTATCGGTGCACTCTTCTATTTCCTCTCCATTATGCCTTCTTTCATCTCATTTCCCTCATTTAGAAGTCCTTTAAAATAACTGGCCCATCTTTCCAGGATCTCTTCTTTCTTGTTTAGAAGCATTACATCTTCATCCTTGCAAGCTACGCTTCTTGGTTGGAAGGCTGATCTCTCTTGGTTTATCTTCTGAAAGAACAGTCGGCTCTCATGTGCACTCCCCATTTCCTCAATATTCTCCAGTTTCATCCTCTCCCAGATCTTTTTCTTTCCTCGGTGCACTCTTTTCTCTTCCCTTCTACATCTTCTATATCTATATACCATTCTCCTATATGCTTCGTTGTTTGTTCCTGAGACCCACCAGCATTCTTGGTCGAACAATCCTTCTCTTGTTTCTCTCTTCTTTTCTCCCATTATGTCTTTGGCTGCTTTCTTAATTGCTCCCTTCAAGGCTTACCATTCATCATCAATGCTGAAACCTTCCTCCAACAACTGGCTTATCTCATCTCTGACCTGCTCCTGGTATCTTATACGCACCTCCGGAACCTTGAGTTTATCAGTGTTAATCCTTCTGATTCTATCTTTCCTTGCTTCATGGTTGATGAAGATCTTTGCAATAGTCTTGGATATCACCATGAAATGGTCGGAATTCATATTCGCACCCTGGAATGTTCGGCTACCCATTAGGTTAGACTTGTGTCGGGAGGAGATTATGATATGGTCTATTTGATTAAAAGTACGCCCGTCCGGGGATCTTCAGGTTATTTTATGAATCTTCTTTCCAGAAAAAAAGTGTGCTTCCAATGGTCAGATTCCATGAGGCAGCAAAATGTATGAGTCTTTGGCCATTTTCATTGCTCTGGTCATGGACACTAAATAAATTTTTAATGATAGATTTTGATAATTTATTAATAATGAATTATAACATAAATCATTATAAACCAGATATTAATAAAAGTGACATGACTTTTTGGTCTATTACTTTTACTATTACTGTTAGTTGTAAAAAAAAAAATCTTGTAAGCCTATTTGAACATTACATGATGAATTATTAAATGAATTATTTGTTATATCTATTTGTGATTCCTGAGTTCCCAACTTTTATTTATTTATTTATTTTTGATGACCCAAATTTCATATGAAAAATTAAATTTTTTTTAAATATAAAAGTTCAATGATTATCTACTGAAATATTATTAGATGTTCTACCTTGCTGTGCACACGCGTTAGCCCATTCAGCCACCCCACCCACTAGATGTTCTACCTAATGTGCTAGGTGTTGCCATAGTAACATCTCTTAGATTGGTATCCAAATTATGCTGGTGGGGGTTGCTGTTAGCATGCCACTCCCCTCTAGCACTGACCAATGGGAAATCATCACCGACAATTTCTGTACTTCAAGAAATGAAACATCAGGATCAGTGTACTCCAACTACCTCAATTAATTATTACTGTCATCTACTTTCAAAAACATTAAGCTATTTTAGTAATGTACAGGTAGGAATTATTTGTTAATCCGGTTCAAACAATATTCGTTAATTTAAACTACACTATAGCCATGAAGATAATTTATACCCACAATGCATCTCATCTTTCTTTAGGCAGTTCATTTTCCTTCTTTCTAAAGTTTCACTATTCTGTTAAATGTTTCTTACAATTATTACAATAATTTTCTTACAATTATGAAGATATAATTTTCAGCTGCTAAAATTTAGCTACATAAATGTAGATATAATATGTAGCTGAAATTAGTTTGAAAATATCAGTTGTCTCGTATATATTTTTGAAATTAATTTTTTATTACAATTTTATTTATTCTTAAGTTTAATAATATATAATTCAAGGTGAATCTTCTTTGTTCATTGGTGAAGATAATAGGATAATTATGAGATATCTTCATTTCACTCACTTTGATGTGGATAAAGCTTTTGCAAAGGTAAGTTCTCTCAGTTGTATCAAATATGTTCTCTTAATTGTATCAAATGTGTTTTCTTAGTTATACTAAAAATGAGTATCGATTTTGATTTCATTTCAAAATCCAATTTAAATAATTTTCATTCTCATTCAGCAAAAAGTAAATTAATTCAATTTCTTTAAAAACTTCAATAATACCGTTTGAATATCAAATAAAAAGAAAAGATCAACATTTATAAAAAGATAGAAATCAAAGAGCAAGGGTAGCCAAAAAGGGATTGCATGAAGTTCTGCAATCAAAATTTTGGAGGATAGCACATTTTTATGGAGTTATAAATTTTCAAATGAAGGGAACAAATATTGATAGGGTTGTGAATTGGAGAGAATCTTTTTTTTTTTTAAGAAGAATAGAGCAATAAAATATCTTAGAATAGGGGTGGGGATTGGTACTCCTGGTGAAGAGTATAATAAATACCTATTGTAAAGTGTATTGTAATATTAATTTTGATAACTTTAATTTTTCTTCTATGGATTAAATACACATAGATTCCATCTACAATTAGAAATACCTAGGGAGTATAAAAACTAATAAAATAAAATATAAACTAATTCTGAAATTATTACATTATTTTCCTGCATTCATGCCATATAAATAATGTACCAAATAAATAATAATTATATCAATATAAAGTAAAAATACTTGTAATTAAGTATTATTATTTCTATTTTATAATCTTTACTATGAAAAATTAATTTACCAACACCAGTTTTATTTTAGATTAAATCTGTATACAAGTTGAAATCGGAAAATCCAAAGTGGTTTGCCACTACAGTTTTTAATGAGAGCCACAAACTAGCTCTTTTAAGAAATATTCACTGCCTCTTGAAAGATCGTGACCAATCAGGAAGAAGAGTTTATGTCATTAAATTAGGTAATAATAATTACATATTTTCTAGTTTATAGTAATAATTAGTTTTAGGTAATTACTTTATTCATCTTTTAGATTTTTCCTGACTTTTATATGAAATACAAACATTTTATAAATACCACAGATTTCATTCATTTCTTTGATTTACTAAATTCAATGAATGAAATAAATATTGTCAGTTATTGCAAGAGATCATTATGTGACAATTCATAATTTTAAATAATTAAGAACTTTATAGAAATTTCTCTTCATGAAATCAAAACGTTGAGCGTTTCTAGTAACTATACCTGATACTTAAAAAGGTTTGTGTCATTTTCATGCACTTACAACGTTTTGAATCAATAAATAAAGTCAAAATTCACAACAATATAATTGAAAGTTGTCTAATATCAAAAATGAACTTAATGACTTTTTACAATAAACCAACAATAAGAACTTCTATAATAGTAATTTTTTTTTTCTACATTATTATATATTTTTAGATTTGTTAGTTATTTTATTTTGAATTTTTATTTATTTATTGGTTTATTAATTTGCTTCTATCGAATTTTTGTAATAACATCAACTTCTAGCAAATTTATAATTCTTGGTAGAAGATATGAAATGAGTATAATTTTTCAGGCAATATTGTAATTGGTGAACTTGATCCATGGGAAAATTTTCAAGTTGATGATTTATGGTTAGAATTAGCAATGGATGAACCGGAAACCCAAGAAAATGGCCTAGTTTACATAATAGATATGAAAAATTTATCATGGAGATATCTCAAATACTTTACTCCACACAACTGTAAAGTTGCTTCCATGAAAGCAGAGGTATTATAACATAATTTGTATTTTAATATTTATTGCTTGGTAAAGAATGTAGTATTTTTACCTGTGCTTAGCAAATTTTTGGTTTTTCAAAAATTTACTGTCCCTGAAAATCCACATTTTTTAAAAATTTAGTTTCAAATTGTTATCAAGATATTATAATTATAATATTCCACATTTCTTTTCTCTGTCTAAATAATTACATAATTATATACAACACAATGTAAATATATACAATTTTAGGGAATTCCTGTTCATCACATGGAGTATCATATAGTCAATTCTGGAATACTATTGAACAGTTTGGTTACAATTGTTTTTCCATTTTTAAGTGGATCAACAAAAGAAAATGTAAGTAATTCAAAATTTCCATATTATTATAATGTGCAGTTTTAATTTGTAATGGTCTAATTTTAATAATGGAAATTTAAACAAAAAATCATTTTAAATCATGTATTCTTACAATACTGATGGATTTCATTGTTATTCTTTAAAAAATAATTATCAACAGCAATAATGCATTCTTAAAAATGTAATATCCAATTTTTGAATGTTTATTCAATAAAACAAAAGAGTTCTACAGTTGTATGGAAATAAAAAAAAATATATGTATTGGGTATACTATGAATCGTAATCTCTTTCTTCGACATTTTTTATTGATTTTTATATCACATATTTCAATGTTTCACGAAGTTTCTTCATCATAAGGGTCATTTGAATTACAAAATTAATTAAAAATCATTTTATAGTAAATCATTTTAACATATAGCAAGCAAAACCTATTTATAAATAATATTAAACCTACCCGTCTTTATATTTTATATTCCTTATTTCATGTCTATATTGCTTGATTCATTATTAAAATTTGGCAATTAAAATAAATATAAATATATATATAAAGGGAGTGGGGTAGCTCAGTGGTAGGGCACTGAGCTTCCAATGCAAAGGTCCCGAGTTCTAACTCCGGCTCATGGCAGAAATTTTATTTATCTGTTTCATTGGCCGTGGGGCGACCTTGGGTCAGGAGTCCCTCCTGGGGCACACCCAGCCTATATAAAGTGGGTACCCTTAAATAAATAATTAATTAAGGGGGAAAACCTGGCGGTTGAGCGTGATCTCGGTCAAATCACCTCCTTGCACAACCGTGGACCTAGAAACAGTGCTTCCCCTAGATAGTACTGGATCCCAGACTAAAAAAAAAACTATTTAGGAAGTTTTTTATGATTACATGTTTCTTAAACAGGATACAAAAAAGATTTATTGTTATTTAATTATAAAAAGTTTTTATTTAACCCAAGTTGAAAAATAAATTAATACTAATAAATAAAAGACTATCTGCACAAAACAGATAAGATAAAATAAACATATTCTTCATTACATTTATCATTTACTACTAATTTCTATCTTCCAATAAACTCAATCTAGTCATAAAAATAGAAGCAATGGATTTAATAATAACAAAAGAAAACTTTGACAATGTTAATGTACTTATTAATTAATTTATTTTATCTTTAACTAAAAGTCACTTAGGATAACTTAATAACATTATTCTTTTTAAAAAACAAAAAAGATATTCATAAATATTTTTTGAACAACCTATAAAATCATATGTAAGGAAACCTGTGTTGCCAACAGCTTTGATTCTCAAAAAATGTTAGATTCAACTAAGTGATTGAGTTATCTTTTGCCAAATTTGGAAATAAAAACATTTAGTAGCTATGAGAATGTGTTTTCACTTTTTATTTTGTATTTTAAAGCATCAGCATTGTTTAGATAATTTCATTATATTTTAAATCGGAGAGAAATAATTTATAAGAAAATTTAATTAACAATTTTCAATAATATTAAACATAAAATGAATTATATTGGCTGTGGATGAATAAATAGTGGTTATTAAGGAATAAGAAATATAACATAAGTATTATTCTGTGACTCACAGTAACAGGCTTATATTAATTTACAGAAAGGGATAATTATTTTGATGACAAAGGTAAGATAAAAATTCTTAGAACTTGTTTTTGCATATTTTATCAAACTGATAAGGAAATGATATAGTCTATTTCTTATTAAATACTGATATATTGATTTTTTTTTTTCTGAATGTTGTCCATAGTTAGCATGGGTGTTGTTCTGTCTCAATTATTGGAGAGGATAGGGATCATATTTTATTAATTCTCCATATATTTATATGTGAGAAATTTAAATAATGTTACTGTATTTGTTTGATAAAAGGAGAGTAATTAAATAAACAAAGAAGTAACATTCAGCTTTTTATAAGTAATAATGTCTTACGACATATTTATTTATCTTTTTTGAAATTTAGTATAAATAAAAGAGTATTAATTTCCGAAATTGTGCAATATTTTTGCTTCAGTAGTTTAAAATTAAAAAAATGTACACTTTTACAACCAAACCATTATAATGAAACTTACTCCATGGACCAAATTGTTTTTTTCCTCTCAACAGCTGTAATATACTGTTTAAAAAAGTATATGCATATACAAGTATGTATGTATGTATAAGTATGTATGTATAAGTATGTATGTATATACAAGTATCATGCATTTTCTTCAGTTTTAAAAATAATTTAATTTTGATAATTTGTCTTTTAAGCTTTTTTAATTTATTTATTAAAAATTAGTAACATCTGTCTCAAGGAAATTTATAATAGTGTTCAGAGATCACATTCACACTCTATGTACAATAAATAAAATAAAATTGTGATAATTAAAAAAAAAACAAAAAAAAAACGGAGTGGGCTATACGCCATAAGTATGTTAGTTTTTTTTTGTAATTTTTATTTTCCTATTTCTATCCTTGGTAGTTATTTCTTATGTGCATATTATCATATTTTGATTATTTTTGGAAATTTAACCAACACAAACTTGTTTTTGGATCTGAATAGTAAGGTTATATTCTCAATATTCTCTTTGTCCAAGGGACTCGTTATTGGAAATACTATGTTTCACCATAAAAGGATACATTTAGCAACATGAAGTTCTAACAATGACATAACAACAAACCAAATTGACCATGTCATGATTAGAGTTCAACATGTTCAACAGCTTAATGGATGTAAGGCTGTACAGAGGAGCTAATACAGATTTGGATCATTAACTCATTGAGGCCCGCTTAAAAGCAAGAATATCATGTTGAAGAAATCCTTATGGAGATCTCCTGATTAAATATAATGTGGCCAAACTAAAAGATCCTCACACAAGAACACGGTTTTCAACACTAATGGATGCTAACACAATAGGAATAGATCAGGATTGTGACCTGAACCACAGATGTACAGGGAGGCCATAGTAAATACAAGTAATGAAGTGATAGGGCAGGTAGAAAGGACTGAAATTAGAGATTGATTTGATGATGAATATTGGGAGATGACCAACCAGAAGAATAAGGTCTATCGAATTATGATCTAGTGAAACATTCGAAGCTCAACAGATGAATACTTTATCCTCTTTATCTTCGGGGATCTCAAGGGATATGCATATTGCCCAGTTTTACATCAAGTTGAAGAGGCTTTATCTGTCCTACCGCCATCAATATTTCCTTGCTACCTTCCTATGACAGGCTATTAGAACCTGGTGACCCTCCTATATACTACAGATCCTACAATTCAAACGCTCCTTTCAATCCTACCCCACCAGATCCTGTGTATTGGACCTCTATCCTCCTCCTCACCGAACTGCTGTGTTTGGTAAATGCTTTTTAATTCAAGTTGTCTCCCTCTGGAACTCTATACCCTCAGATATTCGACACGCAAAATCAATATCCTCTTTCAAATCTCTCCTCTTCAAATACTTACTCCATTCCCAATCCGATTCATCATGAAATGCACTTAAAAATCTCAAAGTACACCCAGATACTTTTATTATTTTGTGATTATTGATATTTTGTTTACTTAATTTACTTCCTCTGTTTATTTTATATTCATACACGTTTTTCATATCTTTTTATTATCTATAATTTTATTGTATTCCTAATCATTCTGTAAATATTTAATTGTATTTTATGGACACACCAGAATATTAATATTCTGTATTTGTAACTTCTTCTAAAGCGACACTAGTCCCAGAATAATAAAATTATTTTCATTCATTCGTTCAATACTGGATAAAAAGAAGAGCAGATAAGTGGTTGCACAGAAAAAAGAAAAGGGAATAAGAAAAAGATCATCTGGAAAATATTGAAGAATTTAGGCAGAAAAGAGAGATAAGGAATTTATTCCAGCTTATAAACCAAAGTTGTGCTCCTTTCAAGCCAAATGTGAGAGCATGTAAAGATGTAAAAATGTAGGCACCCTTCTCACAAATAGGACAAAGATCATAAATCGGTGGAGAACTCATTTTAATGATCTTTTAAATGATGGGGAAATATGGGAATGAGCTCATAAGCTGAACATCCCAGAAGGAGATATAGAGCCCCAGACAAAGAAGAAATAGAAGAAGCTATTGAGAGATTGAAGAACCTTAGGGCCCCAGGCCTATGGTAACCTGGCAGATTTCGGGCTGAAGCCTCCTCCCCAAAATGGTAAAATATAACCATGTTTTATCAAAAAAATATTTAAAAAGTATCTCTTAAAGTATTATTGTTTGTATGATGAATACTAAAAGGGCTTTAGGAATCACTTAAACACCATTTCATACAGGTAGTTAGTTTCTTTCTTTTTTTCCAAAGTAATTATCGTTATTTTTATGAAAAAAAAGATTTCGGGCTGAAGCCCCCCCCCAAAATTAAATCCTGGATCCGCTAGTGTTGAAAACTATCAAGCAGATCTTACTTCGATACAAACGCTGAATCCTTCACAGAATATTTGGCCCAGTTTGTGGGAATCAAGAGTGAAGCAGAGAACCAAAATTTAAAAATTGGAATTCTATTTCATAATTAAAGTCTTATTGGGATAATTGGGTACATGTGTATTACATTAGAAAGAGACTTGAGCGGAATTTTAAATAAAGTATTTTAATTACAAAATAAAATACATTTATTGTATTTTGTATTTTAAGAAATAAAATATAAAATAGTTTTTACTGTATTTTATTTTTAAAGTACAAAAAAATAATTGTAATTTAAAAAGAAAACACAGACCTAAACAATAAATTTTATTTTGTTTTTTAAATGTACAAAATAAATTACAAATAGAATAGGCACCCTGTGTTATATGGTGATTGTCCACCAGGAAGTGTTATGGTTATTTTGTAATGCTTTTAATATTTTGTATTTGAAGTATATTTTTTGAAAATAATTTAAATGTACAGTATTTTGGAAACACAAAATACATGGTATTTAAAATACATTTTTCTCAGATCTGAATAGAGCCATATTTCTTATTTCTCTGGGGTATGATGAGACAAAGTTGAGGTTGTGGCGGCAGAGAATGTTAAGGTGTTGCTCGGTTTAGTATTCTTGAGTCAGAAGTTGCAGTTTCGATTCCTGTATAGGGGTGTAAACCTTTATTCTTGGTCCATCCACAGAATGAATCTTGACCTTCTCAGAGGTTACCAACTCTCAGATTGGTATCTGTATGGTAACTGGCCCTTATTGCCCTATTTGGATTCAAAAGATTTTTAAATCCCAAACAAGGAAAAAAAAAGAAGGATAATATTACAGATATCAATTACCATTTAACAACTTGTTTCTGAAATACCTTAATGTAATGTGATGTCAATCATAGCAGTTTATGTTATGATCAACCTACAATAATATTAGTCAACCTATTTATTCTCATGTCACTATTTTAATTTAAAATGTTAGTACAAATATCAAAGATTTTAGATTTTATTGGTATTTCTTGAAGCTTTTATTTATAAACATATGGAATCATTTAAAATTAATCCTAAATAATTTTTATATATGTGATTGTTCAATATTCCTTTCTTTTTTTTGCCCTATAAAAATATATTTGTGCCTATCAACTTTTTGTTGACAATCAGCAAATGTGTTGGAGATACAGGAAATATTGACATGAAAGGCATGGGAAGGAAATCACTTAGCAGCACCTCTTCCCTAATTTGTTTCAATTTCTTCGGTTGTTTATGGAAGGAGATCTCTCATCCATCACCCTTTTAGTCTCCACCTCATGTTCTGGAGCCACAGCTATGACCATGTCTATTATTAGTCTATTAATATGTCCAGTTAAATAAGTGTAAAATCGTTGGTCAAGAGTCATTATATGTTGGTCAACGATGGACTGTTTAAAGTTGGAGGTCAATATGTAGAGTTTAGTTAGTCATGTACCAAGGTGCTTTTGTTATGTTTTCCAATAATTTTGATTGGAAGGTTTGAAGTTTTTTTAGGTGGTTCTTTTTAGCGATAACATATATTAGTGATGGGTATGTCCCTATGGGTTTAAGTAAGTTTTAGTTTTGAAGATTTAGCAAAAAGAGGATAAATTAGTATGAGTCATTGGTTAATAGTGTTACATTTAATTTTTACATGTGGGCTCCATCCTTCTTTATTTTTACATGTTTACATGTTACATGTCATCCTTCTATTGAAGGTAAGTCCAAGATAAAGCACCATATCCATTTGAGAAAATTGATTGTTGTCAATATAAACTGGATTGCAGGTCTTTTTTTTGAAAAGTAAATGTTATATGTTTGGATTTGTCATGATTAAGTCGAATTTTCCATAGTTTGAACCAATGTTATAATTTAAGTAAGTGATGCAGACTTAGTGAGGCCTGTGAAGGGTTTTGATGTTTTGTGAGAATTGTATTGCCTATCTAAGTAGCTGTCAATGTCTCATCGTTAATAGGTATACCATAACTGTATACAATGTAAAGTAGAGGGGCCAGTTTTGAACCTTGGAGAACTTCGGCCAAGATTAGACATTTCTGAGTTCGGTTGACCTTAGAAAAATATGTCCCAGAGGAATGATAGAACTGTAAGGTAGTACGTGTATGGCAGTGTAGTCTTTAGTTTAAAGAGAAGAACCTGGTGCCAGACTACATCACAAACTAGAGCAACATCCAAAAATACACTAGATGCATGAGTTGCATGTAGTTTTTGTTCTAAAGCTCCAGTAATATAGTAAATAACTCTGAGTAAATGATGTGTTGTCCAATGGAATGAGGTACTATCTATCAGTCAGTCAACAAGTCTTTTGTGTATTAATTTTTCAAAAACTGTAGGGCGAAGGACTGTATATGACTTTACCTGGTTTGTGAATCATTTAAATGAGTGAGTATTTCCATTTTAATGGGAATTTTGAAGTTCTTAGTATACAGTTGTAAATTATAGAGCTTTCTTGGGCATTTGTTAGAGTACTATGGCAGTTATTAAGCCATAAATAGGAGCTTTACTTTTTTGTAATTGTTTGATTTGAAGTACAGCCTGAGATGGACTAAAAGGAGGTGGTAGTGTCAGCTGAAGAGGGATATCTAATGCATTATATTAATATTTTGAATTATCAACTACTTTAGTTACACCAATCACACAATGTTCTTCTTCTTTTTGCTTTTCCTAATTAATTTTCTGATCATTGGTAGTTTTTCACAATATATTTCTCATCAATGAATCATTTTTAATATTAGATTTCTATGTATTTCTCTGTTCACCATATCTATCCGCTTAATAATGAAAGGTACTAATTTTTTTAGCTTACACCCTGAAAAAGTTTATGAAATCAAGTTCTTTACTTTGATAAATTCCTCTGCTATGAAAGTTTCATTCCAAACAACATGATTTCCTCTGTAGCATAAAATTAAATGTGTTTTGCTCATATTTACATTGAGTTAGATGGTACATATATTCAAAGTTGAAGTGACAAGATTTCAGCTATAAAACTTAGCTGGTCACGGTTGGTGTGGTTGATGCTATAAATATTACATTTAAGTGCTAGGTTAATATTGTTAATATTTCTAAGGGCTAATAATTAATAATTCCTAATTATTAATGTTAATAATCCCTCTAACCACATACGTGCTACCAGTATTTTATATGTATGATCTGTAATAGTTGAGATGTCTGCTACAGTAGTAAATAAATATTTTCTTCTTTTATGTAGACATACAATAACTATATTTTCCTGCAGTTGATTAATTAATTATTTTGATTGTTAACCATTTAATATTTGTAGATACATTTTCATAAATCCAATTGGTCATCTCTTCATAAATATGTTACTCCAGACATACTTCCAAGGGAATATGGTGGAAAGTTGCCTGATTTGAATTATAATGAGCTTCAGACTTATCTTACTGACAATGTCCAAAGATTACAAGGTTTGTAACAATAATACAGTTAAATTTTATTTTATTCAAGAAATAATTTAAGATTATTTTATTCTTATTTTAACTCATTTCTTTTTTAGAACTTGTTGAGTTTGGCTATAAGAAAGAGGGTGTGCCCATAAATAATGAACCATATTAAGGATCAATTCTGAAGACTACAAATTATATTTTCAGCTGAATATAATGACTGAAATATATGAAATAAAATATTTCTAAGGGACTTATTTTGATATTTTATTCAAATGTGAGAAGTCGATGAATTATAATTTAAATGTAACTAATTTATAATTTTAAAAGTTTCCATTTAGTTTGGAAATTGCATTTAATTTCCTTGGAAACATTTTGTTACTGTTAAATAACATTACTTTTTGTAATTATTATTTATAATTTTACAATATCATTCTGTGTTAGAAATTATTTTTTTGTAAAATCTTTACCTTTCCAATGATATATCAAACATGCATTACTAATCCAATTTTCTAAAATTTGTTTTCAACCTGGGAATATGATTCTCCTTTTTTCTTCTTTTGTTAGAAATCATTTTTTTATTAGTATATAATAGGCCATTTCCTATTTTTAAAAACCACAAGAGACTTATTTATTTCAAATAAACCATATTTGAAATACTTTAGAGAAAGCCATTTTGAAAATTCAGGTTTTAATCCCTATCAGGCTATTCCAACAAGAATAATGCCTGCCTGATTAAAAAAAACTCTTAATTTTATATTTTTATATCAAGTTCAATCCATATTGTTAGACTGATTTTTATAAAATTATTATAAAAATTATAAAAATACCTAAAATTGATGATGTAAAGTGGCATTCTTGTTCGGTCAATATAAGACAGAAAGTGAATTTTATTGAAGAAAAATAATACAATCTGTCACAATCAGGGGCATTGAGTATTACGGCTCTATAAGAGAAAGATTTGTTGAAATATCATATGTAATTCCAGTTACGTATGAGTTTAGAGTAGTTTATAAGCTGAGGTTTTTGATGCATTGCTTTGTCCAGCTTAATGAGCTCAGCACTTAGTTTAGGATTTGCACTGTCTGTTTTTGAGATATGCCAGAGAAACTCTGCCAGCTAGGCTTTTTATAGAAACTAGCAGTATATTCCATGTGGTGATCCACTTTCTACAATACTTGATATTCTTTCACTTTTATTGAAAGGGTCTTTCTCTACTTGGCTGTATAATTATTTTGTAATTTTCTATCTTCATTATAAGCTTAATAATTTCTTGTACGCTTAATAATTTGTTTCAGTGCTTTCAGCAAAGTCATAATGACCTGATGACCTGAGATCCTCAAAAACTAAATGACCTCTGCTGCAGCTTAAACTTCAGCTGACATCAAAAATATAACCATTAATTTTTAATTTCAAAACATGAGGAATCATTTTGTTTTATGAGGCTTCTGTGTTGATTATATTAACTAAGTAACAATGAAATATGTTTATATCCAATTATTGTTGAGATATATGATATTTTTAATTTAATTTATATGTTTTATATCATTATATTATCCAACCAATTACTACACCAGAAAAGATTTCCAATTTATTAGAGAGGTAACAAGTTTTACTATTATTAATTTTTTTTTTTTAAATGCAGGCCTTTATGATGTTTGTTGAATTGCAATTAAGAAAATAACAAGTCTATAGATTTACACAAACCTGTATTTGTCAAATAAAATTGTATACATAAATGCACATAACATACATCTAGATTCTAAAATTTTTAAGACATCAACAGATATATGAAACATAATATCAACAAAAAATATATTCCATTTTAAATATAGTTTCAATTGACATTTTCAACAAATATACAGTGAGTGTAAAAAACATTGGAACATCTAATTAAATTTTTAAAAAAACAATGGAATGTATTGAAAATAAATATCTTTTTCTTAAATACCAACAGCATATTTCCTTCCTACGTACTTTAATGATCAAATATTATCATTTCTGTTTAAAGTTTTTAAAAGTAGACTGACCGGAAATGTTTAAAGGGAATGTTGTGTAAACAATAACAAGTAAAAAGTATTGGGACACATAGTTTATCTTTAATTCTATTGTTATTATTTATTTAACTAATCCTTCTTCCTCATTTAATATAATTTTTCTCATGTTTGTGTTGAACAATATTTCACATTTAGTGTAAACTTCAACATAGTAATAAAAAAGGGACGAAAGGTGAAGAAAACAAATGTGGAAAAGAGAAAAATTGTTATCTGCCTCCACAACGAATACAGATCTATAAGGAAAATATCTGCAAAACTGGAATTCCATGATAGACTACTGGAATATAAAAGACAAGTACAAAATAACCAAAAGTTTTAAGAATAAATAAAGAAGTGATAGACTGAACATATTTTTTGAGCGGGGTAGAAGATCTTTACATTATTCTAATCCAAAGTTAGCTGAATATAATCTAAATACCAATATATGTTAGAAATATTATGATTAATGAAATTTCCATGGTGGGTGTCAAGGAAAACAATTTTCGTCAGTAAACAGAATATAACAAAAAGACTAAATTGTGCAAATGAATACAAAAATAAACCACAAACATTTTAGAGTAGCATCCTGCTCATGGATGAGAGTAAGTTCAATGTAATCGGCTAGGACGGGAAAGGAAAAATTTGAAAAGACAAGAATCCTGAGCTAGTGAAAAAAAAAATGGTCTAGGTCAGTAATGGTCTAGGGGTATATGAATGTTGCTGCTATTAGTAGATTGAAATTTCTCGAAGAGAATATGGACCACAAACAGTATGTGCAAATTTCAAAACCATCAATTGAAAAATCGGGGACTTCCGAGTCATTTGGCTTTTATCAAGATTATGAATCCTTATAGAAAGCTCACAATTCTCAGTTTTGGATACAGTGCAACACACAAAAATCCCTTGAAACTCCACCTCGGTCACCTGATTTCAATCCTATTGAGCACTTGTGGGATTTTTTCAACTAAAAATAAGAACAAGAATGATTAGTAATAAAATCGATGTCAAACATGCGATCAAAAAAGATTAGAAAAAATTGAGCCATCCTTCACTTCAAGGTTAGTAGAATCAATGCCAAGATGACCTCGGTGTGTAATACAAAATATTAATGTAAACAAAGAGGAATAGGTTAATGTTTTTTCATGTGTCCCAATACATTTATTGTTTATAATTCATCTGAATTTTTCAAGTAATTTATTTTAAACATATAATTATTGTGTTAAATTGTATTAACCATTGTATTTATATTGTCAATAAATTCATTAATTAAATTTTTGCTTTTGAAAATTAAAGAAATGCATAAGTTTATAGCAGTACCATTTTTTCAATTACATCTCCAGGTGTCCCAATATTTTTTACACTGAATGTATGAAGATTTATCTTTCAAAACAATGCTGGATATATTTTTCATTATCTTTAAAAGGAAATAACAACATCAAGTTTACTTGTTAGTAAAGTTACCTCAAAGATCAGAAATCATTTTTTATTCTTGAATATTTAAATCTCTGTTTCTTAAATTTTTTAACCAAAATAATAATTATTACTTGTATAACGTAGTTCTATACATATCGTTACATAGAAAAATCAGTTTAAAATAAAAAATGAATCATAACAATAATAAAATATAATTTATATACTCTCTCTTTCTCTTTGAAAACCATAAGTTGGACCTTTATAAAAGTACACAAATTATTATCAATTAGTATTTAGCCACTTTCTACAAGAATATTTTATAGAAAATCACATAGGGTATAAGAAATACAATATTTATTAGTGGCATTAGTCCATATTACAAAACTCAACTAATAAATAGCAAACAATATAAGTATGTTGAGAACCAACATATAAGAATTTCATATTTACATTTAATAATTTCTAGTATGAAGTAATTTAAATTATATTACTTCATTCAATTTTTAATAAGAATGTATGCCTAGTTTAAAAGTTAAAACCCTGCATATCAATTTTAATCAATAAAACGCCTTATGTACACAAAAGTATCATTTTAAATTCGAAGACATGAATGCTAACCAGAAGAAAGTTAAACAGACAGCAAGATACTTAATGCTCATCTTGAGATGAAAGCAGTTCAGATGGCTCTTCATATGAAAAGTAGAACATTTGTAATAAAAAAGGACATTGTTCCAAATGTGACAACATGATGTGCTGCATTATCTGCTGACATAACACCAAGATCTCTGATTTCATTATCTGGGACAAAGATAAAAAAATCCATTAAATTATATATACACTAGAACAGTAGAAATTAAATTCATGAAAACAATTTTATGTTTTTTAAAATTCCTATTGTCATTTCTATGTATGTAATAGATATATATGTGCGTGCACAAACACATCCACACGCACCCGCAGTTATTTCGCTGATAGAATATTGAGGTATGATAAAAGCTGGATTTAAAAGTTACAATCACCAATCACGGGTGGCATTCATCAGGGTTCAGTTTTGGAACCATTGATGTGAAATATTATGTATGACATCATGCTCAGATTATTCCTGTCGGAAGAAACTATTACTATCCACTTCAAAATAGAGGATAGATCATCGTGTCCAACTTGTGATCCTGTTGATGAAACAGTGAAACATTCCCTCTTCTGTTGGTTAGATTTTGCTCAAGAAAAGGAAAGGCTAGACATGGAATTTAGAAATAAATCAGTGCCAGAAAACTTAACAGCTTTGATGATGACTAGACAGAAGGATTTGAGTGCTGCAACAGACTGCAGCATAAATCGGTAGAAAGCTAAGAGTCCTGGAACAAGAAAAGAGTCGCCAGGCAATGGCCACACAAACATTGTTGTGTGACTTTTTTCCAATGTGCTTCGTCTTATGAAATCTTTTTCCCCCAAAAAAAGAACAAACACTATACAGTAATTATAATTACTTGACAAGATTCTCACTAATAACTTCAAATGGATTAAATATATACATTTTTGGTATAATTAATATAAACAATTGAAAATTAAACCTCAGGAAAATCTCATTATCAGGAAGAGGAACGTACCTTACCTGGCTGATTTGAGAATGGATGGAGGAAATTCATTGGAAATTTCTAAGAAAAAAGACCAATGGACTCCCTGACTAACAATGACAAAACCCTCTGTAGTCCAGTCATTGCAT